TGAATTAATGGTTGCTATAAACATCATTCTCAATTAACTATTTAGTAGCGAGTAACATCTTCGATTTCATTGTCAAAATTTTAGTGTCTACGACATCATTAAAGTTAGTAGCATCTTTATGTCTTTAATTAGAATTTTGGTTGCTTTCATTACCAACAAGGTCAGCTTCTTTAACCTCTTCTTCAAAACTACATCCTTTGGAAATTTCAACTTCTAAACCCTCATCTTGTTACTAGAAATTTTCTTTTTCTTTTTTCTTTTTTCTTTTTTTTTTATTTCATCAACCCTACCCTTCATAAGCATATATATAGTAACAACTCCTCCTACTCTTTAACATAATTAGCCAAAATATCTCTCTTTATTGGTCACAATAAAATTTTAACTCCATCGAAGGTGAAAGCATAAGTATTCCGAAATCCATCATGCATGACCTTACGATCATATTGCCAAAGTCTCTTTAATAATAAATGACAAGCATCCATCAGCACAACATCATACCAAACCTTATCAACATATTTCTTACTAATGGAGAACGACACCAAACCTTTTGTCAAGCTCAACTTCTCCACCATTTGGGAAGACACCACATTCTTAAAGCTCCCACCATCGATGATCAATTCACATACCTTGCTATGTTATGTATAACAAGTATGAAAAATATTATGCTTCACTAAATCTTCTTCAAAAGACATGTCCACACTTAACATTCTTATAACAACCATCTCAACAATCAACCAAATACGTAAAGGAAGCAAACCTCATCCATAATACCAAATTGATGTTGGATTGAGAGATGCCAAACCCTACAACATACAAGCACCAAACAAATAGCCCTAGGCCAAAATACCATAACTATAACTAGCCTTAAATTCACTCCAAAAAATCCTCAAACAAAACATAATCAAAAGTAAATATACAATCAATTAAATCTTCAAATATAAATACAATCACAACCCGAATCTTCGAACAACAAATTCACAAACCTAAAACTAAGGTAGGTGCATTACCTAAGCAAATCAACTTAAATTTAGTTGAAACTTTACCACATCATAGATAATAACTAAAGGCATGTGTGTATCAAAATTATGGTCAATATAAGCCCTATAACCTTATTTTTCATCCATGTCGTCTTCAATTGAACTCATTCTTGAAATCAACAATAGCGATATTCATTTAGTGATTACGATGATATTTTGATATGTGGGATGAAATTTCAGAATCTATAATGGAAAGAATGAATGGATAATAGAAAAGGTGCTTAGGGTTAGGGATTTTGAAATTTGGGACATGAGAGAAGACTACCGATACAAATTACATAATGGCTTGGTTTTTTATTCTTTAACACATGCATGAAACATGCATTTAAGTTACTAGTTTTTCTTTTTCTTTTTACATACAAGGGCAATCTAGTTAAAAAGAAATTGACCACGAGACCTTCACATGCCTATTTCATCGGAAAGTTAAGCCAATATAACAAATTGAATATTTCAAATACTTTTAGGAATAAATGAGATGCAATTAGAAATATATAGACGTATGAGAGACTATGAGTATTATATAAAGACATACTCATATATTTATCCTTAAGCTAACATATAAACCTTAATGGAACCAATTAAATTTTATCCTTTTTCTAATACGAGACCAATATGGAAAGAAAGTAATATATCCTTTTTCTCCTTCCAATATTAAACCTTGAAATAAAATTATTTACTTAATGAAGTGAGTGTGCGTTACTATGAGAGTATGGCCTATTCCAACTTGGCCATGTACATTGGGCCAAATTTCCAATTTAAATTAAGTAGGACAAATTTTTCTTATGTAATTTTAGTTACCTTATGTGATTTAAGGCACCTACTTTTCTTATGTTACATGATTTAAGTAACCTACTTTAGGGTTTTTATTTTTATAATAATGTTATTTTAGAAGTCCACATTTAATTTGGAGAAGATTAATTAGTCGTTATTAAATTTGGATTGGGTCCTAATTTATTTAGGACTTAGGTTTTCTAGTGGAATTAAACTAAATATTTTGTCCTCCAAATTAGACAAGTTTTCTTAAGTCTATGCCGAATTTATGAGCTATATTTAAGACATCTTATACCATGTAGAGAAACAAGTTTTATAGAATAATAAAATTCATGATAAGTTTCTCTTAAAATTATCTTATGTATCCTTATGTTTTTTTTTCTCAAGTTTCATATGCATTATCCTAGTATTTGTTTAGAATTCATGTTTGCTATATCCTTGAAGCTAATCATTTAAGGTGTCTGCTTCTCTTATTGATCAACAAAGTTTCAACCTATTCAAATTTAAGGGCTGGAATTATTGAACTTCATCAATTTTGTTATATTTAGCCTACAACAAAAACAAAAGGTTAAAGTATTTGGTTTGATCTAAATCCATCACCAAAGCAAGTGTCAATTACATATGCTACCGATTATAGTATTAAAATATAGACGGTTAGAGAATTTCTCCTTTAAAGGTAATTTTACTTGCATATGCCAATAAAACGTGTTATTACCAAATTATCATATCTATATAATGAGTATCATTATATAAGATGAGCTGTATTGAGAAAATATATACATTTTTTGTTGAAAAGAACACTAAAAAAATTTCAAGTATATCTAAATTTATACGAGGATAAGGATGTTTTAAGTCTAAAACGGATGACGAATGAAGATATTAAGAGGATTAGTATGATATAATATTTTGGCACTTAAAATAGTAGGTACAAAATTGAAATTCAAATTTACTCCCTCTCTTCAACCTCATCATAATGTACTTATAAAAACACATCAATACCAAAGTAGAAGAAATACAAAAAGAAATCAAAAAGAATAAGTGTTTCACTCGAACTTGAACTTTTGATTCTAATGGATGCAAGAAGGTTAGTCTTATTCTTGTCCCTAGACTTGTTAAGTTATATTCATTAAGTTTTATTAGTTTTTATGTTAAGTTATTATTAGTTAATGGTTAAATTTATTGGAATAACGAGTTTTAGATCACTTGTTCATTTTATATTTTCTTCTTTGTTTATGCCAAACATATAACTATCAACTCAATTGTATTGAAATACATCCATACATAATTTGATTTTTTAGTAGATAATTATAAAATTTATTGAAATGACATAAAAAGTTATCATAAGCATTGAAATACAAAAATTTTATAAAATTATTCCAAAAACATGTCTCAACTTTTTTTATACATGGCGGAACTAGCAACGTGGAATGATTGAGAATGATATGGATAGATACTTTAGATCGTAGTTGTGAAACTCAACCTAGGACTTGACTCGAATCATAGGGATCTAGATCTTTATGGATCTTGTTTTATAGTTTTTTTGTTATCGTAGTTTCGGACTTAGGTTATTCGGATCTGATTTTTGTTTCAAATCTCTCTCTTAGGATTTGAAATCCTCGTTGTTTGGGGTTTTGAGTCTTCTTAATAAAGATTCGGAGAGTAAATTTGTTTGGGTGAAGGAAAACCAATGGTGGTGGATCTTTCGCCAATGAGATCTAGTAATGCGATCCGTTCGACCATTATTTAGGCTTAAACTCATCTACATATCAAGTCCCGACATGGAAAGCCCTAAGTAGGAAGTTTCATTTTTCAAATCCAAATCATCATGAGCGACCTATTAGAAGACTAATTCACTTAGTTGTTTATGTCTAGCCTATTTGCAACCAACAAAAATCAATTTGCTGTATTGCTTTCATTTTGAGTATCTAGTAAAATATATATATATATATATATATATATATATATATATATATATATATATATATATAATTTATACCATATTAATAAAATATTTTTTTTCTTATAAAAAAGAGAAAGATTAATAGAATCATAGCTTGACTTGCCTTTTTTTTTTTTTTTTTTGGTCTATGTTGTTATTGAATTTGTTTGACAATGAATTGAGATTTTTTGTTATTATTTTTATTTTTTATTTAGATTTTCATGGTTTCTCCAAAAACTCAATTAGAAATTGATTATTAATTAACTCTAAGGAAGTTAAAGTAAAATTTGATATCAACGAGTTAATGAGTGATTACATAAGATTTAACATCATTCAATAGAACCTTATTTAAATCTTAGGTAATTTACACTTTGGTTCATGTTTCAAAAATATTTTCTTGTGCATCCTCAATAACTTGCAATTTGGTACTTGACTTATAAACTATAAAACTAACGCAAATATTCGACTTCATTTTATATTTTCGTCTATAGAACTACGAAAGCAACAATCAAACATCCCATATTTTTCCTTCTGAAAATTTTTTTTGATGCAAAAATGTTATTTCTAGTCAAAATTTAATCATCGAACCCTTATTTCTTATTTTAATCTTTGCCTTAGCCGTAGATGAAAAATATTGTTTACTCAAAGAAGATTACTAAAAAAATCATAGTCTCCTTATATAATGGTATTCTGGAACACTTAACTAAATGTTCTTATCCAAACTTAAGTACATCCTATATTATTTTGCAAAAATCTTATATATGATAGTTACGTACATTTGGACAGTAGAAAATAAATAATGATTTGAAATTGCATGTGGCCACCATTGATCTCATATAAATTGTAGTAAAGTTGATAAGCCCAAGAACAAATCTAGCGGTGATGAATAAAGTTGTGAAAACAAGATTAACCTCTGCTTGTTTGGTGCACCTATCTATCTGATTTCAAGTCATTCTATCAGTAACAAATCATGCAATAAAATGTAAATAATAAATTTAGAATTGAAATAATACTAATTTGAGAGTAGTTTTATTAGATTTCACAATTCAAGTGTCCAAATAATTTCTCATTTCTCATCTTGCTTTACTCTTCTGTATTACAATATTGTGTTCTATCTTTTGTGTTGCGAAGGCAACTGTTTCTAATATATATTTTTTTAAATAATTTTGTTGTTGGTTTTTATTATTATTATTATTATTATTATTTTTAACACAATCAAAATCCATGCATTATTATCTTGAAATCATTCACCAATGCATTGTTGGTATAACAGGACACCTGCAGGTTTCAGGGTTGGCTGTATCCAAAGCAACTTTCGCTATATAAGACGGCTTAGAAGAAAGATTAGAGAACTAGAAATTGAAGCCCGTGGGTTGCGGCAACAATTGACCATGATCATGGTTTTATTATTACCAAACCTTCCTTTATAGTATAATCATTAAAGTTATACTTGTTTTGAATTGTTTCAAATAAGCTTCTGGATCTAAACACATTTTTCCATATGAAACTCTACATTGCAGATGGATTTCCATGCGACTATGGCTGAAAATTATGATTTGAGACTCTATACTCAACAAATTGAAGATCAGATGCAACTACAAGATCGTAAGAGCTAGCCTCTGACACACACCCGCACACACACATATATATGTATATATATTGAATTACACCATGCCACACTCTTTCTAGCAGCTAAATTATCTATATTACAGATTTTTTGATGGCTAGACTTGTAGAAAAATTGAAAGAAATTCTTTTTTATCTTTAAGTCATGGTAGATTTGAACTTTGTAATTTCTATTTTTGAAATTGGTTAAATCACGTTGCTCACTTGATTTTGTGTATATTTATGAATGTCAGTGTTGAATGGCTCCGTAGAGGAAGAGATAAGAACACTAAGACAAATGATCCAACATCAGCAAGCTGCAAGAGAGGAGTTCTTTCGCTCTGTGGCTTACCCAAGCCGGATTGGAGCCAATCAGGAGGAAGAACTGGGGCAAAATCAGGATGTCAATGCAGTGCAAAATCATCGCAATCAGGAAGTTGGCACTGAGGGCCTGAATTCTCATGAAAACGCAGGTCACTAATTGAGTAAGTCATCGAGAGAACAACTAGCAATACTCGTGACAGCCAGTCGTATGAGCATCTTGAAAGAATAATGGAATGAAGCAAAACAATACCCAAGTCAACACTTGCTTTAATTTAGTTATATATGACTTTATATGCTTTTTCTATTTGTTGTTGTGGAGGAGTGAATTCCTCATTCAGGTGAAACTGAACAGTCAAATTGCTTTCTTAATAAAACAAAAACTAGGGTTTTTGTTAATCTTTGTCGTGGAAAACGAGGCATTTAATTAGGATTTCCCTCATCAATAGAGTTGTCTACAATGACCAGCTCATTCTTGGTCCCTACTTCGAACCAGATTTCATTTCATTTTCTCTACTAACAATTTCCTCTAGTGTGTCAATTCTCAGTCCTCCCAATCTTCTAGGTTTGTTTATGGTCTGACATTTTATTAGAAAAGCTCACAGCCACTGCCAATAACCTTTTCTTTTTCCTATTCGTCGTCATTATGTTTTCATATTATCCATAGCAGAAGTTTAGAATTTCATTTTTTCCATGCTTGTTTTGGATCATAATATGCATCTTCAAACAATACGTTCCGGACATTAAACTAATTCATTCCCCATCTCTTTTTTTTTCTTTTTTTCCATGTCTAATCCATGTATCCAACTCAAAACTCTCTAATCTCATTATTGCCTCGTATTTCTTACGATACTCTTTTAACACAAGTGGAGGTAAGGAAAGATCCAGACAATAATGGTGTCCATGTCCATCCCTTTCCACTTCCTTCAAAAGAAGTATATTCTTATCCAAACTCCAAGGTGCATTTTCCTCTTGAGGTAAACAAATTGAAAAAGCATACTAACAATTTCTCTAAGCTTCATCCTCTTCTTAGTTCCACGTACAGAACAGTCATGATACTCGTCAAACCCATTGCTAAACCATTTGTCTGTCAATGATATTACATATTCATAGTTTTTTGCTAGAATGTTACTGAGTTAACTCATTTGCGGATGCCCTTTGGTCATTTAGTGAAAATTAATAGGTTCTATCGAAAATTCCTTGAGTCCTAATGTGTACGTTTCTATGTGAATAGCTGGGTTTTTTTTTTTTCAGATAATGCACTTGAATTAAAATAGTATGAAACTATTCCAATTTCCAATGATAGATGCGGGGCTACTAATACACTCTTCTATTTCTTGAAATCCAATATACATTTTCTGTCCTAGTCTCTCCCTCTAATCCAAAAGTCTTCTGTGCATTCTTATTTTTCCCTTGTTCACGTCACCTTTTCTGCGTCAATTTTCTGAATTACAGCAATCAATGTTGACGGTAAGAAGAGATCACATTGTTGAGACGAAGAAGATCAACATATGGTCGATTTTTGGGAGAAAATGTCAGTAGCTTCTTGGCAGTTGCATGCCAGGATCTTAAACCTAGAGCCAAATCTAGACAATTGGAAAGTTAATGTAGTTCTGGAAAAACATGTTATTATGCTTCTAGATTTCGTCATGCTCATAATCTAGCTTATCGATTCATTTGACATTCAACAACCATAATGCATTCAATGATACAAACCAAAAAAGAAAAGAGAAACAAGTTTGAAAACAAAATTCTTTCTTTTTCATTTTTATGGAAATCTTTCATATCGACTTTATCGATGTCGTACGTTTGAGTGAATCAAATGTGCAAGCTCTTTTTCATACTTGGTAGCATCTTCCAACCACACAAGTTTCTCATTAAACTATACCCGGTTTCCTTTGCATGAAAGTGCAAATTGGATGGCCTAGAAGTTTGAAGTGATTAAAAAATGATCCACATCATTTGTATTCTTGTCTTTGTTTGAAAAGATTTGCATGATTTGTGAGTTGTATGGATACCATTGACGACAAAACATTCTTCAATAAAGAAATCAACGTCACTTTTTTTCTCAGAATCCCTTCCACCATCTTTGGTTCCTAGGTTGACGTGTTCTGCATGAACCTCTTCCAAAATCTAGTTCGTGTCATCAATATGAGAATTGTCTACATCAATGAGATTTAACTTTGACTTACTCTCATTGCTAAGATTTAGAGTGACATTGTTTAAACTGGCTGTAATTTATTCCATCTGATCCTCCAAATGCTTACTGAAGTCAGAAATTGACATGCAACACCTCATTGCAACCAACCCCAGGTGAACCTTCCATTCGTAATCTGGTACGAGCACCGTTTTGCTTAAAAATAAGATTTCTTGGAATACAACCTGCTTTTGAATTTTCCTCCATGTTTTTGTTGGTATTTTACTTGAGATGTTGTCAACCACTCCCCACAAAGCATGTTTTCCTAGATTCACAGTTATTAATTTGGAATCATAGTCCCAAATCATATGATCTAAACATCAACAATAATAGCACATGATACTAAGCATGTCATATTGAAAATGAACCCATTGGGACTTCTCATACTTTGTTCAAATCATGGTACCCTTCAATAATGGTATCACGGGGGACATTGAAGGGAGAACTCGAGGGAAAAGATGAAAAACGGGAGTGAGATTGGTTATACGGAAAGAAGATAGCAACCATTGTTGAATTGTCTAAGGCTCTCAAAATCATGTCATTAAATCAATTAATCATATATACATAAATAAATAATTAAAGCAAGTGTTTACCTCTTATAGAGTAGAATTACCCTTTGCAAACGAGGAACCGTCTAAGTATCCAATCTTTACTAATAGTCTACGCGACTCAAACACTCGGATAAGAAGCTATAGAAATTATAAAGTGCTAGCTCCAATCTTTCTATGTAGTTAATTTTTCTCTAGAAATCATATAGGGTAATTTGTTCCAACTCTTGGCTTTTGTAGGGAGAAGTGCGGCAACTATGGTTTTTGGAAGAAAATTTTTTTCTCTATTTTTCTTGTTGCCAAGCTTTTCTTTTCTATTCTCTCTTCCTCCTTTTATTTGCCACCTCTCTCATCCCTCTTTATATAGGGGCGACAACTTCTCCTTGTAGGTCAATGAGATGTTGCCTATATGGATTTTGTCTAACCTTATCCTTATAAATTCTAAGCCTTATCCAAGTAGGGCTTAAGTTTATCCTTCCACCAAAATATCTTGTAGGCTTTTAAATTAAGCTTATTGATCGAAAATCTTTTGATCCAACTAATTGCCAATTAATTTGAACCATACAAATAAATTGGGTCGGATATTTTTAAAACGCCCACATTAGGAAATAATTTACCAAATTACCCTTAAACTAGAATTAGGAAACTAATTTTATTTTTACGTAACTCGTCTTCAAAATTTTGAACTGACTTTCAAATTAGAAAATTGATTTCTAAAATAGGAAACTTTCTATTTTAGGAAACTTTTTCCAAAACAGAAAACTTTCCAAAACATGAAACTTTTTTCCAAAACATGAAACTTTCCATTTTCAAAAACCTTTTCAAAAAATTTTGCTTTTTTTTTTATTGTGTGAATATTTAAACTTATACGTATGACTTAATAGGTTCTTAGATATGTTGATAATATATCAAGAATAAAAGACATCTCCTTTATCTCTTAATACATAAATCAAGATTAGCCTCTAGCAAGGCATCATGACCACTCAATTCTCTAGAAGGATTAATTAATCTATAATTACCTTTCATAAGCATGGTTACCATACAATTCAGTCTTTATTTCAATTTATCACGAGTGTGATCTCAAACTTGATTTATAGTTTGTTCGATTATGATTACACAAATTTTCTTCGATTCTCAAATGTCTTAGGTTTAAAGTAAACCAACTATGCTCTATTGTTATACTCTCACCACGGTCAAAGATTTCTTAAGTAAACATTCATTGAATTGCAATGTAATAACTCCTTTAACATACAAAAAATGACATGTCCTATCTTAGTCATCCACCTATCTTTATTAGATTCCTAGTGCATTCAATGAATCGCTCATATGCAACTCTTAATTGAGCCCATCAAAACAGGTGTCAAAGTACATAAATTCTCTAATGAGATAATCATTATGAGTTTAAGTCAAACGACTAGTTGTACCCATCTTATGTGAGATTCCTATAAACTAAACCAAATAGGTTCTCATTGTGAGTCATGTCTAGTGATATACTCTAACATTAATCACCTAAGTGCTTGCTTTGACATCACAATGCCAAAAGGTGTGAGATCTCCTACTAGTATTTTATAGTAAGAGCATAGCAATCACAAGTCTTATCACATATTGTCAATGTCTATTCTTGACAATGCTATGACTTTGAATATTTAATGATATCCTTTAAGCGCATTAATATTTATCTCACATCTTTTGATCAATTATTAATGCAATGCATATCATATGGACTTTTATCCAATTCTATTAAATTGTAAACAACAAGAATTAATAGAAAGACTTCTTTTATTAATAAATAAAAAATACAACATTATAATAAATCAAATCATCCAAACAAGTTGGATCTTGGGCGCCTACACTAACAATTTTTCACTTGTACTATAGCCAACCAGCTATGTCCCTTATGCCCGATGATCGAGCAAAGCTCTTATATTTTTACTATGAAAAAGTCTTAGTTAAGGAGTTAGCTATATTATCGTCGGTATGAACCTTTTCTATCCTTATATCTCCATGACTAATAATCTCTCTAATTATGTGGTATCGTCGGTGTACATGTTTGGACCATTGATGAGACTTTGGTTCCTTAGATTGTGTTATGGCTCTATTGTTATCATAGTACAATACTATTAGATTAACAATGCTAGGAATAACTTATAGTTCGGACAAAAATTTACGAATCTAGACGACTTTCTTTAGCTACTTTTGTGATCGCAATATATTCAACCTCGATTGTTAAGTCACCTATTATTTCTTGTTTGAAACTTTTTCAACTAACGAGTACCATTATTTAATTCAAAAAAGAATCTTGAATGGGATTTAAAATTATCATGATCAATTTGAAAAATAACATTTGTGAACCTTTCCATCACTAGTTCATTTCTTTTATAGACCAAGAAAACATCCGTAGTTCTTCTTAAGTAC